AGAAGATAGATACACACCTGTATTCATTGTAGCAAAGATCTGTTTACAAACCAAATATCCGAAGATTAATGAGTGGGTACAGAAGTTATGCTACATAAATACACAAAGGAATACTATTCAGCTATAGAAAAAGATGAAATTTTGCATTTAACAATGGACCTAATATCACCAAGGGCTAGGAAGTAGACAGCAACAATCTTACAGATAGTGGTGAAGGGATAGTAGTATTTTGATAGTGTGTATGCTGTGGTAATATTGTGTCCCTAAAGCATACAAACATTTACACTCATGCCAAACACAGTAACAACAAAGTCTCCAAAGGAGACGTTACTGGGCCCGCTCGAGCAAATTGACCATCAATTTGAGGGCCTTTACCTTTACCTTAGTTCATTTATTTAAAAATTTGAGAAAAAATTTCAAAGTTAAAATTTGTAAATGAAGCAACAATAAAAAAGCAGTTTTCTACTAGACTGTAGCCATGTATAGGGCAGAGATTCAAGTAAACCTGTCCCTACAAATAACAGAAAGGGACAGTGGTATGGTCTTTATACTCTACCATTCACCATTCTCACATGTTCTACTAATAGGTTTTGACAGACAAGGTTACCAATATTGGAAGGCTCAGAAAATCAACCTCTTCCTACCTTACTGACTACCAATGGTGAAGGGTTAATAGAAGCTAAGTCTCAGGTAAGACTACATACATTTTCCCTAACCCTCTGATACACATTCTACATTTCCGGTTTGAGCCCTAGGCCACAATGGTCGACTTCCTATTAACGCATCTGTGCAGGTTGCCTTGCCTGCTTACATCTCCCTTTCATGCTTAGTTACTTACTAGTGGTTTTACATATTTAATATTATAAAGAAACTACTTGTGTCAACATACTCTGCTTCTGAGAGAACACAATCAAAGCCAGAAGTAGACTCTGAGCACTACTAGAGGTAACCCCTCAGAAACAAAATTACTGGAATTTGAAGTTATAAACAGCAACTTCCCCAATCACTACTGCTCCTCTAAACCTCTAAACCTGAGACTCCTGTAAACAACAGTATATTTGGAACCAGATCAAGAGTATAATGAATTGGGCACTTACCTTGCATGTGGCTGACCCACATTAGTTCTCCCCACCTGATACCACTAGGAATGATGATCCCTGAGCACAGAGCCAAGAGTTAGCCCTGAGCAAAGCTGGATAGCCCCAAAACCAAAAAACAAACATAAAAAATAACCTAAGAGTACATAAATTGGCAAGCCTCATCTATATTGTCCTCTAGTCTAGGACTTCCCTTGACCTCTCTCTTTTCTATATGCTGGTCCCCAAAGTATTGAGAATGTTTATGGACAGTTTTATGATGTGACAAGATTCTATTCTCATGCAACCTTGACCAAGTACCACCTGACAAAGCTTGTTATATGTTAAGATGTTGTATGTTAAGATGTTAAATGCAAGCTTATTATATCTTACTGATCTATATTTTTCCTTGATGAGCTCAAAATCACTGGAACCCTTTATATAGTGTTCCATAAACAAGCAATAGCACTTACCAGTGAACTTTTTGGAAAAGGAATATTGGGTCCTTGCTCCCAGACCTAACAAGGGATACTGCTTGCTAATAAGCTTCACCTAATGATTTCTGTGTATCCTCAAATGGAGATAGCTATATTAATTGAATTTTGTTGGAGATCAGTGCAGTAGCTAAGTTCAGTGTATTGAAAGGAATTTGTGGAATAAAAGCATCAATGTTTATTTAGGCTGCTTTTAGTCCCTCTTCAATGTCCACTAACTCATTTAATGAACCTTTCCTAGTTTATATTGGTCGGTTTTGTTTGGGGGCCATACCCAGCAGCAGTGCTCAGGGCTTATTCCCAGCCCTGGGCTCAGGGATCATCTCTCCTGACAGGAATCAGGAGACCATATATATGGTACCAAGGATCAAATACAGGGGATGGCCACTTACAGTGCCACTTACCATCATTCTGGCGCAGACCTTTTCTAGCTTTTTGCCAAGTTTATTAAGGGGACAAATGTAAAATGGGCAATTGGTTGATATAATCCCTGACAAAAAGTTTAGATTCCTCACTGGAAGTCCTTATGTGGTAGATTCTACTGGACCATGGCTGTGAACACACACACACACACACACACACACACACATCACATACACACACATACATCTGTACACACCCCTGCAATGGGTATGCAGATACCTGATTCTTCTATTCGGTCAGGCTCAACTCTCACACACACAGAGAACTGGTCAAAACATCCAGAGTCTCCAGAGCATGTCTACTATGGGGAAGACCCTGTCCTTTTCCTGGGAAGGCACCCTAAAAGGAATTTTAGGGATTCTACCAGATGAATAAAATAATCTATTACAAAACACAGTGGGGGGCAGGTGCTGAGAGGCACAGATAGGAGGAGCCAGGAACAAAAGAACCCGAGTCACACAAAGGCAATTCGATTCAGTGAGTGATTCTGAATGAGGCTTGCCTCCTCCCAGGAGCCTGGAGACTTGAGCCCCAGGGCACCATACAGAAGAGAACATCCTAATTATTACCCAGAAAAACCCGGGTGAGACAAGTGCAATTTGCTTGCACTTAATATATCTGCTTTTTGGTAGTTATATAGGCTTACAAACTCCCTTTCAATTCAACAGTCACTCCTCCTGTCTGGGATTGTTGAGGAGCTATATGCTGCCTTTTAAACAAAAGAAAGTCTTAACTCCACATCATGAACTTCACTAATTTCTAGGGAAGTAGCTCTTGTTTTTATAAAGAAAGTGTTTCTGGAATCCTAAACATCTAGGAATTTTGATTTCTTAGGAACTAAAAGAACTCAAGAAAGGCTGTGTTTATGATGAAGAGCTTGTAAGACAGGAATTATAGCCACATATCACCAAGAAATAAGGACGGCAAAAAAGCAAGATATCTAACAGCAATTAGAAACTTTTAAAAGTATCCCACTAAACTCAAAATACCTACGGTGTGGCCTGATAACTACACAGCCCAATACTTTCATAACAAATTTCTGAATGTCAACAATCACAAGCCAAATTACATTTAACATGCTGAGCATTTAATTTTAAGGAAGATATTGATTTTTACATTTTATAAATGCTTCTACATTTAGTTTTCAATGTTAGGGTCATGACAGATTTGGTTTCAATTCATAAGAAGTACATTAAAATAGAATAGCATCCTTTCATAAAATTAGAAACATGTGTCACTATTTTATTAAAAGTATTTCATCATGACTGTTCAGCATTCCAATCATTTAAAAGTCATATTAATTGAATACACAACTTCAGAATACAAAATTCAGTCAACATTAACTGGACATCTGCTGTATATCAAGTGCTGTACCATTAAAAAATACAAGATAAACAAGAAATAAAATGTTCAGTCTGCATTAAGGACAATTGAATTTAGGAATTCTCACAATGACTTCTGAATAATCATGGAGGGAGTGGATTCTATTCAGTAGAGTTTGAAAGGGGGTATGGTATTTCATGAAAGCTGAATTCCTTGGAAAATGATTTGCTTGTGAAACAGTTGGTGACTTCCTTCTATACTTTTAATAATTGGGTTTACCTGATATCCCCAAGAAAATAGGAAATCACCCATACAGAAAACAGAATCTTTCTCCATTTCTCTATTCCATTTTCACCAAAAGAAATAAACAAAATATCAGACTAACAATCTTCTTCAGAAAAAGGAGAAAACAAGTAACTGAGGAATTCTTTTACCTCACACTTGCCATTAAACATTACTGCAGAAATGTGGCCTCCCTTCAGTCTTGTGCATGCTGGGATGCAGAGAACCATGAGATGTCCTGACCTTGCCCCAGGTATATCCTGCCTGATCCCCTTTCAGAGGCTAGAGTAGTCTCAGAAGAATTCTCCTTTACATCTAAGAAATATCAGTTTCCCTTCCTCCTTCTGGGGGTCTCATGTTCTTCCCCTTAAAGGCTAGTACTAAAGGAAGCAAGCTTCTCTAAGACATATATATATATATATATATATATATGTATATATATTGTGTGTCTAGCACACACATACATGCCTTATGAACCACAGAGGCTCTGGAGTAGAACTACAGATAGAAAGGCCTGATAAAATGGGGGAAAACTGAAACCTAGAAAAGCAAAGGCCCTTAGTCAACCTGTACTCTCTAAAAAGCTACTTGAGTCATTTGACTGTTTTGCCCTGGAAAATTTGCATCAATTTTTTAAAGATGGTTATTTTCATAACCTCTATCCCTGCATTCTGGAAAGTAAACAAGGGAAGATGATAAGATGTTAAAAAGAGGAGAAAGGAAATTAAAAGTAGAAGAATGAGAAGAATGGCAGCCAGCCACACATGCTGGGGGAAAAGGCAGCTCAGATAGAGAAGGGAGGACCAAATAAAGGGTATTGGGAGGATCCTCCTAGGATGGGAGATGTGTGCTGAGAGTAGACTCTAGACCAGCCGTGATTGCCACTCAATGCCTCTTTTGCAAACCATAGCACCCAAAAGGAGAGAAGAACAAGGGGGAATGCCCTGCCACAGAGGCAGGGTGGGGGGATGGGATGTGGGAGGGATACTGGGATCAGTGGTGGTGGAGAATGGGCACTGGTGGAGGGATAGGTATTCGATCATTGTATAACTGAAACCCAAGCACAAAAAATTGTAAATCTACAACTGTACCTCATAGTGTTTCACTAGTAAAAATCTAAATTTAAAAAAAAGTAGAAGAAAGTGGTTAAAGAAGGAAGGAAATGAGAAAAAAAATGAAGAAGTGAAAGGAAAAAAGATGGGTGTGGGGGAGGGGGAATAGCTCTTGAGGAAAGTTGGTGCAACGCCATTGGTTTTCATCACTGAAAAAAATTATATGGAGCAATAGTGTCATGCCAACCTTGAATCAAGTGGTAAAAAACTGGGGCTTTTTCCACATCTAACCTGAAGTTAACCTTTCCCTTCCCTCTCCCCATTTCCTCCTCCCTTCCTTATAAACCTACCTTCACTGAAGACAAAATCAGAGATGATGTCAAAGGGCTGGATGTGAACTGCAGACAGGATCATGGTGACTGTCTTCTGTGGATCGCTGGAAGCCAGGGAAATAGTCTGCTGTGCTTGACATTCATAAGACTTCCCAGCTGGGGTGACCAAGGCAGCGAGATGATGGGAGTTGGCTGTGTGCTTCCCAGCTGCAGAGAAAGCCCCGAGCAATGGTTAGGACTGCTCATTTGCAGAACATCCCCTGCTCCTAACCACAGTTTGCCCTTCTCTGCTCCCACCCCTCCTCTCCACCCCAGGTACTCTGTGGCACTCGCTTTGCTGAGGCTGGCATTTTTCAGATGGCATCAAGTGGTGATGGAAGACAAATGTCCCCACTTTGATGAGCAGGCACTCCTTAAATATTAATTTTAATACAGGAAAGATCACAGTGTGTACTGAAGAGATAGTAGAGCAGGTAGACACTTGTCTTGCAGGTTTCCAACTGGGTTTGATCCCCAGCACCATATATAGCTCCCCCAGTACCACCAAGAATAAGCCCTGAGGAGAGTCAGGTGTGACTCAAACTCTCCCCCACCAAAAATAACAATGATACAAAATGCAACTACTTTTACTGAATAAAAATCTAACAACAGATATTTCAAAGACACAAAACTGTGATTTGGTTTGGCACATTTTACATAGTCTCAACAAAACATGGCTGACTACAATACTATGGGAAAAAATGTCCTTGAGCACATAGCTGCCCTCCGGAAGTCTGCCTCCTTTTCTCCTTTTCTGGCTTAAGATTATTCTTATGACACAACCTTTTTGTGATCTACATTAACACAAATACTTGAATATGAATTTTGATCAAGAGAGGAAAATGTCCTTTTTACTAACATGATAAGGAATTAAATGGATGAGAAAACACACTCTTGTCATCTCATCTCTTTCGTAAAAAACGTTTTTCTAATCAATTTTCCAATGTTTGAAGGTCTCAGTATGAGTAAATCAGACTATATGCCGAATAAATGAATGAATGAAACATGGTCTTTGATGGTGCCCTCAATAGGGAGCACGATATTTGGTGACAGCTTATTCCTCTTGCCATGCTCTTTTTGAGGACTTGGGTGAGCTGTTGACATGTGGGGCAGGTAAGCTCATAAACTAGAACTAATCAGAATCCCCTCTAGGATGGCTTAAATCAGTGAGGAGAGTCTTTGAGCCCTGTAGACATAAACAAAAAAATACTGACACCCATCATCTGCAGACTGGAAAGATGGCATAATGCCCTTTGAAGGGACAGGCCTGAGAAGAAAACCAAGGATGTAGAAGAAAATGAAACACAGTTTTTTCCTTCTCTGTACTCCATTAAAGAACGCCTGGTCTGTGATCCTGTAGCAATCCAGAAAGATGGGCTCATAGGGGAAGCTTCATCCAGACTCAGGCCAAGGGGATAAGGCCCCCAGCTCCTCAGGCCAACGGATCCTGGAAAACCTACTAATCATGAGACCAAAGAACTGACCATTGGGGCTGGAGAGATAGAGCAGTAGGTAGGGTATTTGCTTTGCATGCAGCCTATACCCGGAATCCTATATGGTCCCCTGAGCACCACCAGGAGTAATTCCTGAGTGCAGAGCCAGGAGTAACCCCTGTGCATCGCTGGGTGTGATGAAGAAAGAAAGAAAGAAAGAAAGAAAGAAAGAAAGAAAGAAAGAAAGAAAGAAAGAAAGAAAGAAAGAGAGAAAGAGAGAGAGAAAGAGAGAGAGAGAGAGAGAGAGAGAGAGAGAGAGAGAGAGAGAGAGAAGAGGAACTGACCATTGCTCCTTCACCTTGGGAAAAAAAACTTAGGTCGGAATTGGTCTGGGAGAGAATTTAACAATTTCATCCCTGCACTTCCTTTGCTTTTCCCCCAAGCTTTCTTCCCAGTCCTGTTGTCCTCTACTTACCACGGACTGCATCTTTAAAATGGGTCTTTTCTGATGAGTCGTAAACAAATTGGACTTTGCTGAGTCTCCAAGTCCCCTCAAGTCCCTTGGAAGTGTTGTGAGTTTCCTGCGGGATGGGGGAGGAGGGGAGAACAGAGCGTCAGCAGCCCAGGACTTCTGGGGGCAAGAACCTGGGGAAGGGGTGACCACTGTCTACACCCTTCCCAGGTCTGCACCCGCTGTGGGCACGCCGCAGGCAGTTACCTTGACAAACAGCAGTTTGAGCGTGTATGCGCCATCCACCCAGAACACCTGCAGCTCCGACTCATTGTGACCACAGCGGCCTTTCACCTCAGCTCCCCGTGTCAGTGAGATATCAGCCTGTTCGGTGATCAACTGGGAACACAGACGCCCCGTCCCCGCTCAGCGCGCCCGGCCCCAGGAGGGACGGTAAAGGGCAGCGCGTCCAAACTCCGGGCTGCACGCCTGGGCGCTCCTTTGCGCCCGCTCCCAGGTCCGGGAACATGCGGTTAGATGCTCTACGTGCAGACCCCCGCGGTAGGGAAGCCGAGTGAGAGAGGGTTTACTTTCAAAGCAGGCAGGGCGAGCAGAGGCGTTACAAGCCGGAACCCCCATGCAGCATTCAGGAGCAGCCTGCAGGGGCACAGGGCGGAAGGCGGGAGACCTGGGTCTTCAGAGGGCCTGGAGGGAGGGTACCCTTCGGCCCCGGAGCCCTAGGAGCAAGCTGGAGGGGAAAAGGTTTCTTACATCCACATAATTGCTGGCCCACACATCATAAGGGACAATAAATTTGGCTGCAAACTCTGCCATGAGACACGTCGTCCCATTTTCCCGCACCACAAATATATCTTTTTCAGGGTTAGTGGAAAGGCCTGAGAGATTTTCCACTTCTTGTTCAGCCATGATTCGAGTCATTGTATCTGCAGGGAAAAAAATCCTATTGGTTCCAGGCTCAGCAAGCCCCTGTGTCTAGGGCACAAGAGTGGGGAGATGCCATGGTCTGCAAACAGGCTCTGGTTGCAAAAGTTCCCTGCTGCCTGCTGACGGCTGTGCGCTCTGCAAACCGTTTCTCTAACCTGATACCAACATCTCCACCCTGTTAATGCATATTTGTAACCGTCTTTCTTTTCCTTTGAAAGTCTTCCTAATTTAAAAGCCTATTGGCATTTTTCCCCCTCTGACCGCCCCCCCCCCCCCCAGTTTAAGCTTTTAAACCCAATCTTACCTGCCAATGCTCAATCCTACAAAACAGGCCCATAGAGCACTCTGGAATATACCATACAGGTGTGATCCTTTGGCATTGGCAGTAAGGCTTACCCCTCCCCGTCTCCCTCCAAAGAAAAGGGGGAGGTCCGCAAAAACGTCAGGAGGGGGGCACATTTGGACCTCAGACTACTGGCTCTACTCTGTAGGAAGAGGACACCTGTCCTTGCGGTCACTGAAACGCTACTCACGGAACAGCATCAGGAGAACTCGAAGTCTGTACACGCTGGAAATGGCTCTTCCTCGGAGACCCATGCTCGCCTGGCAGCGAATAAGACCAGCTGTGCCGCTGCGGAGGCCGCCGGAGAGGGAATCCCTCCAAGTCGCTGCCGCTGGAGTGAGCCCGGGTAAGCGAGGGGCGGGGGCTCCGAGAGGGAGGCGGAGGGGAGCGCGCGTTGTAAGGAGCGCAAGCCCGGAGGGGTTGTCCTGGAGGATGCCGCACCCGCCGGCTGGGGCTGTCTGAACTCCCGCGGATTCGCTCTGCGGAGGAAAGCACCGCGCCGCGAGGGAGCTGTCCACGGCTGGGAGTGCTGAAAGGAATAGGTAGTGTTGGGAGAGCTATTGTGGCTTGGTCGGTGTTGAGGGCCAATGAGATTTAGTGGGAGGGAAGAGGGGGTGCTAAAATTCTCCGCGAGTCTGTTTCCTGTTCTGCAATCGCAGCCGCAAAGATGATTCAGTCATGAGAAACTTAATAGCGCCCTCGGAGTTATTCAATAGCCCTTCCAGAGACAGTTACTAGGTAGTGTAGGTAATCTCATTGCTGGGATCCTGATTTTTTTCAAAATGATCTTGTTCTTGAAAGAAAACGATAGAGCACAAATTGTTACGGCTTCGAAGGAGGAGGAGTAGGCAGAAAGAGAGAAGGAAAATGCTATGGCAACAGTTCCCTGAATTTGGAGACGTCCCTTTCTCTCCCCTGCTCACAATGAGCTCATGGATTTAAACCTAAATTGACGCCTCCTCAAATGGGGTAGTCGTTGCAGAATAACCATTCAGTCTAGTTTTCTGAATTCAGATTTCTGGCTCAAGGGGTCTCTAAACTTTGGGGTCATCCACCATAAGATTGTGGCTGCACTCTCAAGAGGTACGTAAGTAAGCCTGAAGTTTCTGAGGTTTATATAGGGCCTCAAAACCAGTATCATCATGGCTATATACACATGACACACACCGTTATTACTCTGCAGCAACTGGGGAGTGGGCAGAGAAACAAATACTGCTAGACTAATTCTGGAATTTGTGTACTTGGTAACTTGCTTATTTTTATAAGTTTTTTGCTCAATAAATCAGTATGCAGATCTTTTAGCAATAGTGTTGTCCTCAATCATTGGTGGTGACGTTTCTTGCAGGCATTCTATTATATAAATAATATATTATGTCATAAAATGAGCAATGCCATACTAAGGGGGAAACCACATAGTCTTTTCATGTGCATTCTTAAATTTTATCTGCTTTTCTACCTTACAGGGTAGGCAAAGAATATATATTTCACTGTGATTGTACATACCTCCAGACACAGGCTTGTATATATTAAGTGACCTTCCAAATGTCACATGGTCAGTGAGAATTAAAATAGAAAATATCACATGCTTTAGCTCTATAGAGATCATCATTAGCCCTTATATAACATCTTGCCTCTAAAATATACCATATATTTGTTTTCATAAAATTTTTATTCAAAGACCAAATAACAAGATGAAAACTGAAATTCATAACACTAATTCACATTGCTGAAATATATATACCTCTATCTAATGTATAATATTTCAGCAATGAATTATTCTTCTATTTAAGCCCATTTCTGTACCAATAACTATATCAACAGCCATTCAAATTATAAAGTAATATTTAAAATTACACTATTTTTGTATTCTTATTTTTGTGTCTGCTTTTTGAATTGCATAAAAACAATTCTCACAAACTACACTAATGGTTATATCTAGAATAATTGCGGAAATGTGATTGATTTGAAATCAATAATTATTTATTGAAAAATATATATACACATGATAATATATTCTGTTAGCAATTGCTGTTATTTATTCCCCTGTTGTATTGTAAAAATTAAACAATTGGACATTTGTAAAGAGGCATTTATATTAATTTCCCTCCAGTACTTTAATGAGGAAATAAATGAATCGATTTCGGACAATGATTCCCTATGTATTTCTTTTGTGACCTTGTACAGACTTTTTTTCTTGGCCTGGTCTAAAACATTGGGAGCTCAGGAACTGACTAATTAATCAAGCGAGTCAGTGAATATAAACGCATTTAAAATAAAAGACAGGTTAACTTAATACAAAAATATGAGATAATATTCTACCACTTAAACCGCTCCCTATCTTTATACTTGGTGCTTTGGATACCTAAAGATGAACAGGTACCATTGTACAAGTAGAAGAGATATATGTAAATTATTTTGATAATTTTTATATATTAATGTATTTATAATAATTTTAAGATGTTAAAAATCGACTTAGGTACTTGAATACTGCATTTGTAACAAAATATTAGAATGTAAATGGTAGCAGTCATGTACAGTTATATTTTTGTATTTGATTTCTAAATCACATGGTAGTAACACTGGAAATGGGTTATTTCCAGATCTGACATAAATGGTCACCTTTTGACAACAGAAAGTACTGAACTTAGTTTAAATAACAAAAAGAAAGCAATTTTAACACTTCATGGGAATATCATCTTCAAAACACAAGTAAGGATTTTCCCAGTTATTTATCTTAAACCTACTTACAAATAATCATTTATTTAGTTTTGCATTCCAAGTGATTCTTATGTTGCAATAGTTGTTGCATAGTGTTTATTATTTTTATTTTCATCTACATTAATTAAATAACTTTTTCATTTTTCAGCAAAAGTTCATTTCTTTAAAATTTCCAGAAAAGGTGATATAGAAGCAAATATTGCCAGTAAGTCAGACTTTTAAGAGACTTTTAAGTTTTCCAGAATTTGTTCCATCCTTCATTTTTTGAATGGGAAAAGAGGAAAAACTGACATAAATATGCACACTTGTGTATGGACGATGACTGTGTCAAAGTCATCATTCCTATTGCTAGACATAATAAAATGTCAGAAGTAAATGTGCTACATACCCTTAGCTTTAGAATCTGCTTTAAATTTTTCAAACAATTCTCTTCAACTTGTATATGGACTTAATAAAATAGCCACTATGAATCCCATACCATTGTATGCCTGCCTTTTCAAAGATATTGAAAGAAAGTTCCCTGCATTTTTATAATTTCCACTTTGATGTGAAAAATTTGGAGATGCATGAAGATAGGGGGTTGACAGTAGTTTTTGGGTTAATTGACCAAAGATGGCCTCTTGAAGAAGATGGATCTTGAATCTGAAAGACAAGAAAGGAAATACAGATAAAAAAATATGTGTTAAGAGAGTCAAAGATGTAACACTTTACCTTTCATATTTATTAATTTGCAATAAATTAGGCCTCCAGTCTCATTACTATTTCGATGATAGAATTCTTATTTTAATTTTTTATTTAAAACCTGCCCACATGCGGCATGTGCAAAAAATAGCATCCTCAGAGCTTATCATTAATAAAACAAAATATTTTCATCATCTCATGCATTTCTTTATACTGGCTTCCACAAGTAATTGACTTTTATTTGTAGGCTCAAGAAGGAAATCTACAAAAATAGAGGAAATGTACATTAGAAAACCTTTATGAGCTTCAAAAGGAGATGGAATGATGCTGTGTTGCAGCTGAAATTTGACTTGCGGTATTTCAGCACACCTTGCAATGGAAGTTCAATAACATATGCTGATACAGCCTCTCCATTTCCCTCCCTAACATAAACACAAAGAAACGGATAGATAACAGCAGGCATAATTTAACTGAGAATGACATATATGCCATTGTTAAGCCAGTATTATTGCTTACTAAAACATAATCAGATTATCACTGAACAATTATTTTTATTTGATTTTATCGCCGCCTTCTATCATTAAAACCTTCTCTAGTATAGAAATCTTTTGTGGTAGGAATTGAAAGATGAGTATACAGAAGAATATTTTGTGTGTAAATTGCCAATTCATAGAATAGTAGAAAAAAATCAGAAAAGAGAGTTCGGGCCTCTGAAACACTCAGATTACAATGACCTCTGTGAAATTCCATTCATCCTTTCATTTCACTGGTGTCTCCTGCACCTAATTTAAACGGAACCAGGGTGATTCCTGCAATGAAGGAAACCATAAAGGGAATAGAAAAATGGTCTTTTCATTAGCTAATTTTCATACCAAGTCTTAAATGTTAAAAGTTATAAGTTTACCTAGAATGCCCTTTGCTCATAAAGGAATGAAGACGAAAAGTTCAGTAAATCTAAGTCTAAAAATACATGTTTATTGTTTTCTTTGGAACCAGTAGCTGTTTCTAACATTGTTTTATATTGTTTACCACTAGCTGAGGTGAGATTTTAGGTCATGGAGTACAATTCTCCTTATTTTCATGGTGGTGATGAAAATCTTAAACACAAGGGCAGGGGGCATTTCTGTATTAGAATTAAAAATAAAAATCTCATTTAAAAGAGTTTTGCTTTTGTTGTTGTTGTTCCAAATAATAACAATGACCTCAATGGGTTTTAGATCATAATTTAAAGTAGTTTACTACTGAATTCTGAGATAATGCAATTCCTTAAAAATCTCTTCTAATACATCATAGGTGCTCCTTATCACCACTTAACTACTCTTTCAATTGTCCATTTGAAATTAATGACCATTGGGAGGAGAGAGAGCGGGGCAGCGGCCAGTCTATTGAATGTTGTACTTGAAAAGAAGCTCCCATAGAGAGCAGGAATTCGAAAATGCACCACCCCACCTCCTTCAGATTATAAATTACCTTTGCTCTGATTAGTTTTTTTTTTCCTGTGAGAATATTGCCTGATGCTCTGATAACCAAGAAATGGAGAGAGGAGAGGTTTTGGTGAATGGCAAAGGCAAGTGGATTGGGAATCTAAGAAGTTAATCTGTTTGTTATGACTCTATTGCTCCACCAGCCTTGGGGTAGTTTCACCTCTCCTGCCTTTAGCAAGGGTTTTCAACCAGATTGTTCCAGGACTAAATGTCCGTTTCACTGAGTCACTTTATCTAGCTAGTAAGTGACTGATCAATTCATTTTTAGGAGTAAACTTGTTGGAAATTCCATTATTAAAGCATACTACGCCTACAAGCACCCTGGGCCTGCTGATCAAGACACAGGAACCGCGGCGTGCTGCATTACCTTTCCGTGGTCCGGAGGAGGGCGGGCCTGGTTACTCAGGCATGCAGCTCCGCTGGACGCACAGGCTTTGGATTCTAGCCCAGAGAACTGCAGCGGAGAAGCGCGCACTGGCCGGGAGGCTGGTTGGTTGCCTGACACCCGGAGCGCGGGACGACCTCAGGCTGCGAGAGACTTGGGCGCCTGACTCCAAGGTTGGGCT